CCAGCTTCCTGCAGTAGAACTCAGTCTCAAGGAAGAAAGGACATGATTGAGAACCTCTTGTGGAAGGAAGGCCGCGCTTCAACCAGAGGGTCAGTCCTGAGGAATGACTACTCCCGATCTCTGCCTGCATTGCAGAGGGATAAACAGATTCACAGGGGAACAGGAATTTTCTCAAGGTGGCAGAGGTAGGGAGGGTCTCCCCATTGGCAGCATGCATGGAGAGCTAGGGTGCCCCTCGCTGCCCCTCCCTCCACGGGTTGGTTTCACACAGCACCATGTCAGCTTCCTGTGAGTTAGGTACAGATGGACAGGAGGGTGGGTGAGAACTGAAGGTACAACTTGCCTGCCAGCCAAAGAGAGGCAGCCGTGAGGTCTGCGTTCCTCCAGGCAAGTCAGGGAGCTCAGCTGACCACACCTGGCTGAGTGGCTGCCAGGGACCCTCAGGGAGAGTGAGATGAGCGAGAATGGTGTCTCAGTCCTCAGAGGGCTCCTAGTCTTCTGGGAGGAACATATTTGAATGACCCGAGTTAGAACCAGTAACTAAAGAGAAATCCACACAATGTTCATTGGGAAATTTAAAAGACGGAGAGTTTAATGCAGCAGGGATCCGGTTGGAAAAAAAAAATCAGGGAAGGCTTTCTGGAGGAGGCAAAATATTCGATTTTTCTTTCTAAATATATGTGAATTGATTCACTTCTCTCCATCATCACCTCCACCACCAGCATCTTAGATGTCATTATGTTTCTTCTGCGCAGTATTTCCATTGGCTCCTTATCCCCCACCCCACTTTCTTCTCACGCAGTCCATTCCTATGCAGGCAGAGTGGTCATTTTGAACCATAACTCAAGCATCCCTTCTTTAAAATTTACCAATACCTTCTTTTTGCTCTTACCATAAATACTGAAATCCTTATTACGGGAAAGTATTTAGAGTGCTTTGGGCAGCAGGTGATGGGGAACAGGATCAACTCACATTAAGAATGACTTAACAGGAACATTTATGCTCTTATGTAAATGTCCCAAAGAAATGTACGTATCTGGTTAATTTGGTGGCTCAGTAGCATACTCAAGGAGTAGCTTCCTTCCAGCTCTCCTGGCCTCCTTAGTATGGGTTTTGTCCCTGGCTTGAAGACCTCCACACTGGCACGTGGCAGAATTCAAAGCCAGAAGACAGAATTCCCTTCTCTGGGTCCCTTTTTGAAGTCTGGGAACCATTTCTGAAGTCCCCCCAGCCACCACCACCCCTCCACTATGGGACCTCATTCACATCCCTTTGGCGTGTATTTTGTCAGTCGCCTTTCTTTAATACAAGTCATGGCAAAGAGAATGGCACTTCCATTGTTTAGACTCATGAAGGTTCATCTCCTGGGATGGAGGCGGGGCCCAGCTCACAATCATTCTCAAGGTCTCCTTCTATCTGAACAAAAGTAGGGCTTTATTAGCAAAAAAGTGGGGACATCAGAAGAACTCTGCAGTAGTCAACCAACGATGTCTGCTGCCTGTGCCTCTAGGACCTGCAGGGATGGCCCCGGCTCTCCTCCAGTCTCATATTGTTTTACTCTACCCCTTTCTCTGAGTTCTTCCTACCCTACAGCCACCCCACAGGCCTGGGGCGGATAAGCTCCTGATTTCAGTGTGGAGAAAATTCCCCCTAGTCCTGGGGAATCAACAAGACTGATTGAGGCAATCCATCTCTGGAATGTTTGGTGTAACTTTGTAGAAAAATTTAGTCCTGCTTGTTTGCTAGTTGAGTATATGCACGTGTGTGTGTAGGTGTTTGTGGATATTTAGGCTCTGATTCATTTTCCTTATCTTTATTGGGCCAGTTTTAATTTTCATTATGATGTAATTCATATATTATAAAATGCATTATTGTTAAGTTTATAATTTAATGAGTTTTGACAAGTGCATACGCCCACATAACCCACATTTCCACAAAAATTTTGAATAGTTCCATCACTACAAAGATTCTCCATGTACCCTTCCAGTGATTGCCTCCTCATGCTGTCCCCAAACCACCACTGCTAAGAAACAGTTTATCAGGGATTAGCTTTGTTTTTTTCTAGAACATTAAGTAAATGGGATCATATAATATGCATTAATATTTTTATACTCAAAGTAGTCTTTTTGAGATTTATCCATATTAATGATGCATTAGCAGCTTATGCTTTTTATTCTTAAGCACTGCAACATTGTATGAATATATAGCACTGGGTTTGCCACTTTCCCCTTGACATATATTTAGGTTGTTTCCAGCTTTGGGCTATTACATGTACTTATGTTATGAACACTGGTGTTAACTCTTTGGGTAAATATCTCAGAGTGCATTTGCTTAGTGTTAAGACACGTACATAATGAACTTTATAAGAAACTGCCAAATAATTTTATCATGTTTTATCATTTTACATTGCACCAGCAATGTGTGAGAGTTCAGTTATGACATATCCTCACCAACATCTGATGTTGGAATTTTAATTTTAGCCACTCCACTGGGTATGAAATGTTATTTCATTGTTATATTAATCTGTATTTCATTGAGGACTACTACTTTTGAGAACTTCTTTTGTAATTATTGGCAAATATGTCTCCCTATGTGAAATGTCTGTTCAAATCTTTTGCTCATCTTTTACAAGTAGGTTGTCTTATTTAATAAGATTAATGATAATATAATTATAGATTGTTATAAGTATAATCAAGGATATTATTAATATGATATATAATAATATTGTAAGAGTTCTTTGTGTGTGTGTGTGTATATATATATATATATATACATACACACTACACACACACACACACACACACACACACAGATATACACATAAATATAGTGAAGATTTTCCCCAAACTTGAGTCAGTTTTCAGATTTCATTTTTTTCTATAAAATGTTCCCTTTTGTCTAAGTTTTCCAATTTAAAGCCATAAAGTTTCCAAGTATTCTCTATTGTTTACATCTCTGCAAAATCTGCAGTTATGTCTTTTTTTCAGTCCTAAAATTATTTGTGCCTTCTCTGTTTTTGCTTTGCTCAGTCTTGCCAGAAGATTGTTTATTTTTATCATCTTTTCAAGAAAAAGATAAGATTTGATTTCTTCATTGTGTCTTTGTTTTCTGTTCCATTAGTCCTCTCTCTTACCTTTGTTAGTTTCTTCTTTCTGTACCCTTTGATGTACTCTGTTGTTCTCTCTTTTTTTCTTTTAATGAGATGAAGCCTCACTCTGCTGCCCATGCTGGAATGCAGTGGTGTGATCACAGCTCATTGCAGCCTTGAACTCAGGAGCTCAGGAGACTCTTCCATCTCAGCCTTCCAAGAAGCTGGAACTACAGGTGCACACAACCACACCTGGCTAATATTGTTTATTTTTTATCTTTCTCAGGATGGCACTTAACTCATAAATTTTTAGGCTTCTTTCTCTCACACAAGTATTTAAAAATATGTATTTTGTTAAGAACTGCCTTTATCTGTAGTATTTTAATTTTTGTTCAATTTTAAATATTTTGAAGTATCTATTATTATTTTTGAATCATATATTATTTAGAAACATGCATTTTTCTTCCAAGATTGTGGAAGAATTGTTTTACTTAAAAATATTTTTGTTATTAATTTTTAAACTAATTGCCTTGTAGTCAAAAAATGTTGTGTTTAAGATATTAATAGTTTGGCATCTTTTAAGACAATTTCATAGCCTGGAATTTGGTCATTTTGTTAGTTTTTCATGTGTTAAAATTAACATGTTTTCTATAATTATTGGTTGCAGAGTTCCTTGTATATTTGTCCACTAAATAAACTTCTTGCATTTAAATAGTCTACATTCTTAATGTTTTTGTTTTCTTTGCCGTTCTTGCTGGTTGTATTAATAGATTACTAGAACTAAATATTTATTAACACTCATAAATACTCTTTTACAATAATTTATTTTATACTGTTTAGGGTAGTTGGTAGAATAAACCAGCTGCCTAACCATGAAAGACCTTGGGGACCTTTTGCCCGTGGGAAGAAGTTGAGTTGGAATGTAGCCCTTCTTGCTGGAGGTAAGGCAGTCTGGAACCAGTTGGATCACTAGTGCGTGACTAGGAGAGAAGGTCCGTGATCATTCATTGGACCAGCTTTCTGATCGCTACACATTGTTTGCATTGCAATACACGCTTGGCCATGAGATTATCTGACTGATGATTCTCTGGCTAGAACCCGGTGCATAATAGGTGTGGGGGCCACAGGCTCTTGGCCCCTTTGCTGAAAATCACTGGCATGAGGCAGATGGATCAATAGGAGAAAAGGCACGCAAATTTACTGAACATGTGGTGTCCACTGGAGCCTTCAATTTCTCATGTCAAAATGCCATACTTTGGATATTGCTTTCTGAGCCCCAACATTGGTGTATTAGTCTCCTCTCACACCTCTAATGAAGACATACCCAAGACTAGGTAATTTATAAAGGAAAGAGGTTTAATGGACTCACAATGTCACATGGCTGGGGACACCTCACAATCATGGTGGAAGGTGAAGGGGAAGCAAGACACATCTTACCTGGCTGCAGGCAAGATAGCTTGTGCAGGAAAATTCCATTTTATAAAACCATCAGGTGTCTGAGACTTAGTCACTACCACAAGAACAGTATGGGAAAAACTGCCCCCCATGATTCAATTATCTCCACCTGGCCCCACCCTTGACACGTGGGGATTATTACAATTCAAGGTGAGATCTGGGTGTGGACACAGCCAAATCATATCAGTTGGTTTAAGCATGTGTATGTGTGTGTGGTGTTACGAGGGTGTATAGTTAGTAAATAAAGAATAACTTAAATGTGTCTTAAAGGCAGAAGAGCATGTCTACAGGCAGAGAGAACACTCACTTTCATGGTGACAGTGATGCCAATCATTTTCGCTTCCCCAGGATTACTCCTGCATCAGGGAGCTGCACTGCAATTTCCTTTGCAGAGGCCTCTTTGCCTGTCTTAACGCCACATGGGTTGGGTGGGGCTGACCTCATCTCTTCCCTCCAGGAATGGATGCAGAATCTTGGCCTCTGCAATCCCACCGCCAGAACCACTGAAGGAAACCCTGCCTGAGAGTGAAGGCAGCACAAAAGCAGCGGAATTGAGAAAGGAAGAGAGGCTTTGTTTATGAATCTGCCCAAAGGGATCCCTTGAACTTTCCAGTCAAATAAACCAATAGATTCTGTTTTCTTTTATGTGAGTTTGGGTTGAGTATTTGTTGATAAAGCGTCCTGATCTTTATCACTCCTGATGATCAAGTGTGACTCTGCAGGGGGCTGCCACAGAACAGGCCACGGGCAGCCTCCTTTCAAAAGAGGCTAGAAAGGCTCGCCCCCCACTTGTCCCCATCTTCACCCCAGCTTCTGGGCACAGTGCTTAGGCTTGGTTCCTTTAAAACCGCCTCCAGTACTCCTAAACCTAGCCCCAGATTCACATTTGCCAACTACCCAGGTGTCATCTGGACACACTGTATTTCCTTGATCAATTCCACAAAATTGTGTGGAGCCCCCATGGAATTTCATTCCTGCCGCCCCATGCAAAATACCGTGGGTGGGAAAGAAACTAGCGCTGGATGGGAAGTTTCTCTTTCAGGAGTGCTGTAATTTGCCGCAAAGTGTGCTAATCTGAAATGTTGAAATCACGTTATATTTTAAATTCACTAAAAAGCTAACTGGTTAAAAGGACTTGGAGAGAGCTCCTGGACAAAAATAGATTACCCCGTTAGTGGAGAGCATTTCCCCTCAGCCCTCACGGTTCCCGAACATGAGTAGGGCTTCTATAGCAGGTCTCTGCGACTCTGCAGGTGGGCTTTCTGTGGTTACAAGAGAATGGCGAGCTCCCGCATGGAACAGGCCTACTGTGTCAGGCAAGGCACGGCCTGCCTGTCTTCAATGAAAGACTGGTGGCAATTGAAAACAAATACCCCAGCTTCCTTGATCTTCAGGGGTGTTTTTACACAGTCTCCCAAGGGTCCCCAGTAGACACCCCATCATATCTTCTGCATCAAAACTCTCCACATCAGCTTGTTCCCATTCCCCTACTGATGCTTCCTGGGGTCAACTCCCAAATGAGCAACTTATACTTAAAGCCTTGTTTTAGGGTGTACTTATAAAGGAATGTAATGTAAGACAGCACCCAATTTCCTTATCACCATCTCTTTTGCTAAAATTTATTTACTTATTTACTTATGCATTGGATTTATTTTTAAAACCAGTGTCAAGCTCACAGCAAAATTGAAGAGAAGGTGCAGAGAGTTCCCATACATTTCCCAACCCCCATGGCCTCTCCTTTATACACAGCCGTTACCAGAGTGGTACATTCCTTATAACTGATAAATCTGAAGTGACGTGTTACAACCACCTGGCACCCCTAGTTTAATTAGGGATCACTCTTGGTAGTGTACATTCTATTAATGACCACTCACTTTATAACAATATTTCCTTATACGGGAGTCAACTTTCCCCTTTTCTCTGGCTTGAAAATGTGGCTTGGTTATGAAATTCACGAGGCGCTCCTGGTCCTCTCTCTATCTACTTCCTTAGTTGGCTGTCAGCCTTGGACCAGTGAGGAAGCTGAAGTGCAGAGACAGTGAGTAGATAGAAGACCCCC